CGAATACGCGTTTTTTTGTTTTCGGCGTCTCCGCCCTCGAACGCCTCCGCGACCTCATCGTCTCGATAGCGTATAAAATACGATTATGTGTATAAAAAAGAAACGTGCGCGCCGTCCATGACGTACGTCAGATACGACCAAATCCTTATATGTATTATACAAAAACATCGCAAAATCGTTGCTCTCCGGTCGTTGTAATGCCTTTGATCGCGTACGTTTGGGGCGATATCGAGATGTGTGTATGTGATAATAAACTCGGTACGTCGTTAAGACGTACACGATTAAATAATGTAACGAATACGTCGGAAACGCTCTAAACGACGATAAACGTGCGATTTACGGTTTCTACACTCGAATCGTAAAAATCGTATCGCTTAAACGACGTATACTATGGTATTCGTCGCATCTCTAAAACAGTTTAAGTGCTCGAGATTCGGTCGTGGTTCACAACTCAAACTGTAGTCGATAGATGTTAGGATAAGTTCCCCGACGTTAGGTAGGCAGGTTCGAATCCCGTTCCGGCGAATTCCGGGCGGCTCCATTAGTAACTGTGTATAACGGGTTTTTTGCATTTTTTTTTTCATTTCATTTGATCGTTATTAATTGCCGTTTTCGTTTTGATATCCAATCTCACACTACTACTCATAAAATATTTTTCAAATTTTAAAAATGATTTTTGATCTCACACGTTTAATTTTATATTGCTCGATTGACGATGTCAAAATATATTATATAATTCAATATACTTTACACGGACATTAAATCACACAATAGTATTCGAATAAACCAATTATAGTTATTGCTATATAACAGTCTGCACGATTCAAATGTACATATGTGATATGCAATTTATATTATAGCCCGAGAACGTTCTATTGATGACAATACAGTTGTTTCACTCAGTTTTGACGGTGAATTCACTATTTTATATGTTTAGCCTTTCAGTTGTTTACATTTGAAAGATACAGGGGAAAAACAGTAGCAAATTTTTTTTCTTTTGATTTTTAAATATTTTGTCATTACAGAAAGCGCATATTTCTTTTCGATATCTAACCATCTATAAAATATGAAAAAAAATATTAATTATGTATAGTTTTTTTGATTTTCAACTCGCTAACGTTTGACATGTATTTTCATTAATAGGTTTAAAATCTCCACTTTGCGCTCACATCGTCCGCGATCCGACGCAGTCGGATTGCCTACCTGGGAGGTTTAAACGCGTTTAACTGGATTTTCAATGGTGATCGCTTGAGAAATCGAGCGCTCGATTCGACTTAAACTTTTTTGTGTACTGAACAGCACAACGCCTTCGACGTCAGGAGGTATGACAATCCGCCGCAGGCGGTTTGCCTTGTCAGTAATCGGTATTCACTGGACAATGACTTATAACTGGACACTTGATAACCGTTTCGGTGTGTATTTATTTATTTTCCATACTCAAAAGCATCGGGTGAGCCACGGGAAATTCATCCAATCCGCCGAAATCGGATTGCCCTGTCAGGTATCGACTTTCACCGTACCGGGCGATGACTGATACCCAGACACTCGATTGCCGTTTTCGTAACGAGCTACGGGACGAGGTTCTCCGACGTTAGGTAGGCAGGTTCGAAACACGTTCCGGCGAAATTCGGGCTGTACGATAACTGACCAAGTATTCGGATTTTTTGCATTTTTTTTTTTTTTAATTTTTAAATTTTGTGTTAATTAATTGTAATTTCTGTTATCAAAAAAATGATTAAATATATATAGTTTTGTGACTCACTATTTATCACGACTCGCTAACGTTTGACATGTATTTTCATTAATACGTTTAAAATTTCCACTTTGCGCTCACATCGTCCGCGATCCGACGCAGTCGAATTGCCTACCTGGGAGGTTTAAACGCGTTTAATTGGATTTTCATTGGTGATCGCTTGACAAATCGAGCGCTCGATTCGACTTAAACTTTTTTGCGTACTAAACAGCACAACGCCTTCGACGTCAGGAGGTATTACAATCCGCCGCAGGCGAATTGCCCTGTCAGGAATCGATATTCACTGGACGATGACTGATAACTAGACACTTAATTACCTTTTCGGAATGTATTTATTTATTTTCCATGCACAAAAGCACAGGGCAAGCTACGGGACAAGGTGTATTACACCTGTGAATTTAATGAAATGACCGACCACTAGACGCTCGAATTAGACTTTTATTATTTACGCGTTTAAAACGACACCGCCAAAGTGTAGAGCCACCAAATCAGAGGTACCAACATCTCAATCGTCGTTATCACTGGTTTTGCCTATTAGACTATTCTAACTGCTGTATTCTTAAGTCCTGTCTCCGACTTAGGAAATTCACTTCTAACGATATTCAGCTACCTAAGGTACTCACATACAGCGAGTTTTACCGACCTAGGGTATTCACATACAGCGAGTTTTACCGACCTAGGGTATTCACTTACAGCGAGTTTCACTGGTGCTAGTCTTATAATATAAAACCAAAACGAGCTTCCTGGGTTTTTTCGCCAGAGTGCTCTGGTTTAGTGTACTGGCCAATCGAAAAATTCGATTTTTTCCTATCGTCTTTCTTATCTGATATCACGGACTAAGATATAATGGACTGGCATCCAAACAATTTCGGTGGATCTCAAACGTCTGGTGTTATCACTTGTTATGGGAGCTTAACTGTTACTAGCGCGCATGGTGGTTTAATTTTAAGCCACCGACAACGAACCAATAAGTAAATTATATTATCTTCTATTTTTATACCTAAAAGGCTAAAGCAGTATAGCCCATAACTGGCATGACTAAATTCTTAATTCAGTTAATTCTTAGTTTCTTACTTCTTAGTTATCCGTGCTACAGATTAGAAGTACAGACTAGACAAAATGTATTTACACAAGTAAGAAGTCAGAAGTAGGTAACAAATAAAATACATAACTTTTATATATAATAATTTATTATTTTTATTAGTGTTATGTATTAACTAGTTTTGAATGTTTTTTCTTTTTAGCATTATTTTTGTTTTGATTTTTATTCATTACAAGTGTGTACTGACGCATTCTCATAACAATGTAATCAGATAAAATGAACTTTAATATTTCAGTTTTGTGATCTGCACATGGAAATTTGATTGGACCATATTCCTCAAAGAAATTATTCAAAGTGAGCTCAAAGACATCATTACTGTCACAAAACTTCGAAAATGAGTCTTCAACAGCTGACAATATTTTAAAAACAAATTCATTTGGATGGATCAAACCGCCTTTGGTTTTTAGATTAACCAATGTAGCTTCTGGTTTATCTGAATAATTTTTTGAACCTAGGAAAATAATTTACTTATATAATATCTTATAATTATAAATATCTTACCTATAATTAGTAACACATTTTTAAATTTAATGTTGTATAGTTTTAATTAATAATACTATATTAAAAGGTACCAATTAATGCTTTTCTGCAAAGTTCACAAGTAATGCGCTTGGTGTAATTTTTAGTTATGTATCCACAAATGTAATAAATAACACAGTCCTTAGTTTCAGCTTTAAAGTAACTGTGTATACTTGTATCAAACACAATATCAATTTCAGTTTCTTGTACAACCAGCATGTCCAATTTTTGTTTTAATAAATTAATTTTATTAGTACGCTCTGTTGTATCATTATTGAAGACATTTTTTAAGTCATCAATAGTTATTTTTGGTGTACCACTGTCCAAAATTTTGCAATTCCCTGTTTTTGGTGGTCTTAAAATAGAGTATACAGATAGGGTCTTGTATATTTTGTTTTGACTAGTGACAAATACTTTCTTATTGTGCGAGGACAAGGTAAAGGTAAGATGTCTTGTTCTCTTAGAAATACATAAGTTGATGATGAGCTATAGTAAAGGTTAATTTATTTTAGGATAATTTTATTTTAGAAACATTATATTCTGGACCTACCGGATTTTTAACAAAATACATAAAAGAATCCAATCTTCAGAGTATCGTCTATTTTTTTTATTTGGATTTTTACTAGTTTTAATTATTTCTTGAATTAAAACTGATTGAGGAGCACTTAGATTTTTTGAACTCATTATCTCATTTATAGATGCATCAGATAAAATCTTGGTTTTCTGTTGCACTTTTTCCAAATCAAAGTTTAATTTGCCAATGATAGTTCTCAGTCTAAGCATACATTTAAAATTTAGATATATATTGTAGAATAAATTACCTAATTAGTAATAACTTGGTTGCAATAATTTCTTTAACTACTTGTAGTCTGTACCTACACTTTTTAATGTGTTTAGTATAAATTCATTTACCTAATTTACTTAATTAATGTACATAATATGTAAACATAACATTTATAATTTAAAATATTAAACTGTTACCTAATATTGGTTTTTTTCAATATTTTTCTATCCTTCAAAATTATTTTAAAAGCTCTACGCCTTCTTGGTGTAAGTGTTCCTCCAATATAAGGTTTCTGACTCTCCATTTTAGATAAACTTGATTTACGTTTGTGAAAATACCAAATCAAAGAATCACAGGATTGACATCTTTTTTTCATATTATCCATTATAATTGGACATTTTATATGACGCCATAGTGTATTGTTTTCCAATACTGCAGTTCGTACAGAAATCCCTTAATGGTATACAATCAAACAGAATGAGATATATTATATTATTTTAATTGTGTGATAGATGAATTCCGTTGGGTACCTACCAGGAAAATTCATTAAGTTTGGACCACCTCTACAAATTTGTTTGTAGTCAATTACATTAATAAACCTTGATATATCTCTTAAATTTACTGGAAATTCAAGTTTAGTGCTCTGTTGATCAATATCAACAGATAATTGGTACACGTAAAAACAAATTTCCAAAGTATTTTTAAATACTAATTGCTTTTCAATTTTTAATTGACCATCAATAAAATTTGATTTATAAAATACTATTTCTGTATTACTTGAATATGTAGTCCATCCTTCAGGTAAGTTAACTCTTTTAAAATTGATTAAAAGGGCTTCAAATGACAATGATTCATCATTGTCCACCTAATAATTAATATTGATATTTTTTAAAATTAATTTAAATTATGATTTAAACATCTTATAAAAACCAAGTTAGTAATAAAGATATTACTTTAGGTATTTTTATGCATTTATTGGGCGGCTCTCCATCCAAATCAAATTCATTTAGTAACACATTTTGTGGTTGAATTATTGCTTTAGTTTCCTTTTAAATTATGATCATAATAATTAAAAATCAGTGATATACACGCAGTAATTTGTACACAAGTATTTAATATATTAATACAAAAGTATATGCAAATTATTAGATTATTTTTTTTAATTTGATAATCTATAACTTAAAATTACAGGTACCTATATTTTATAATATGCTGTACTTACATTTTCTTCGAATAATTCCTTACGGCATGATCTTTGGTCATACAATTTGGCATAATTGTGATCTAACAATGATCTCTTACCTCTCCCTATAGTTTTGTTTTTTAAATCAAAAATAGTTGGAATAGTTCCTTTTTTTAGGCCGCATTTTATTCTACATCCAACATCCTGTAGGTACATTGGTTTTAAAAAAAGAGTAAATCTAAGATATAATTGTTACCCTATATAAATAAATTAAGCATTTAATTAAATACAAACTGCAGCAATATCCTGTGGACCTGAATAATTAGAAATTATATCTTCGGATAAAAAATGATCAGCACATACAAATTTCACCAATGTTTCATTACAATTTGCATTGCTTATAGCTTCTTTCCATTGCAAATATAGTGCTTTCGGTGGAGCAAAAAAAGAAATGTTTGGTGTGTGTTTTGTACTAACACACCCTTCTACCGAACACTTTTTTACTTTCATTTTTAAATTCATAAGATAAACAAGTTGTTTCAATAGTTTAACTTAACAATCAAATGTGTTTATTTACAATTGTATGTTTATTATTATTTGAATTCCATTTATTTTTAGTAATTTTTAAATTTGCCTCCATAGATCCATGGTAGATAGTCAATAGTTTAAAATTAAACCACTATTAGCGCTAGTAACAGTTAAGGTCCCATACCACTGTGATAACGCCAGACATTTGCGAGTTCTACTCCCTACCCCGCTCACCTTATCGATGCCAGTCCATTATATCTTAGTTAGGGATGGGAAGTTTCGTTCAGTTGGGTGAACTAGTTCGTTCGTTCATCGTTCACTAAACTGAACTAGTTCATTGAACTAGTTCAAATGAACGATACATGTACACATGGTAAGATTAACGTATCGTTTTAAATCGTTCACTGAACGTTTACATACTTACATGATACGTCTTGATAGTTGATAACCTTAAGAATTCATATTATTTTCGTTCATTCTTGTAAAGTTGTAACAGTGGTTTGAGCGATATGGGTAGGAATAAAAATTAAAAATATATGTATATAATATATATATACACAAAATAATATTATTATGAGGACGTCGCGCCCGCATGTGTTGTCTCCGTCTTACCAACGTACAACATACTACATAGCAAATTTCCGTACAGCAGAATCCATTTAATGTCGTTAGCTTTAGTATTACAGTCAATTGACCTAAAATCAAACTTAAAGGTTAGAGTGTTATGTAGGACAACCCTTGGGATTTTATTAATATTATAATTGTTATGTTCATTTTAAAATTGGTAATATTTTACGTAGTTCCAACTCACTTTAAAATGAAAATTTCAAAAAAATCCTATCAGATGCTCTAAATAATCTTCTCACCTTAAAGTTTGAAAATAGGTAAATTGACTGTAATACTAAAGTTAACAACATTAAAAAATGGATTCTGCTGTACGCTAATTTGCTATGTTATACGTTGGTACGACGGTGACAATACTGCGGGTGCGACGGCGACGTCCCCTTAATAATATTGGTTTTTGTAACCCAGGTAACAAACGTATATCCTCAGGTTAACCTGGCTGCACGGTAAACATTTGCCAATCACGGATATCTATAACCGTGATAGTAACTAGTACCTATGCAATTAACAAGTTGAATGATATACCATAGACCACGAGTTATAGGTAACTACCTATATAGTTACTAGTTAGTACCTATGTACATTCGTAAATCATAATTCATATAATATTATAATCCTAACGGCTAACCCCAAAATGCGAAAGTGCCAAATCGTTTACTCGTTCCGTCGTGGTTTCATTTATTAATAATTCATTTTATGTTATAACATTATAGTTTAGGACAATTGACAGTTTAATTTTTATATGTTTTATTATTTTTTATTTATTATTGTTATTTATTTTTATCGTCGTTTAATGTGTTGTGTGTTGTGTAGTCAATTGTGGTGTTAATGTGAATTTTACCTAAAAGATAAAAACAAAATATGTTACATTTTTTAAGTTTTAACTATTCAAATACTTGTAAGTATGAAGAAAATACAAAATAATATATATATACATTTTTTAAAAGTATTAAATATCAAAGATTTTGATTTAAAAAGAGCACTTTAGATGCTTTGCTTGGTTTAATCCGGTTTCTTTGTTCAGTTAATGTCATTCCAGCTTTACTAAACAGGCGTTCACACGGTACTGATGTAGCTGTAATACATAATCTTTTTAACATCAAATTATATAAACGGGGATATTGAGATTTTCTATTTTTCCACCAGATAATAGGGTTCTCATGTCTATTTAAAATTGGCTCATTCATATACTTATCCAATTCTATTATTCCAGCTGCCTGTGGGTTATGCGAAGCTCTGTTCCTGTTGTACTGTTCATCAAATGATTTCCACAACAGTGAACTACTAATACTAGGCTCATCAATTTGTTGAGGATTGTCATATTGTGTTTGTGTGTCTTCAATTTGAACAGAACACACTTTTTGTCTTAATTTGTTAAGAGCATTTGTATATTTTTGTTCACTAATATTTGTAAATGCCAACTTTTTATACCGTGGATCTAATAATGCAGCCTGTGTAACTAGATCATTATCCTCTAATGGTTTCAGACGAGAAGTTATCTGCTGCTTTAAGGTTAATACCATAGTTCTTACATCAATCGGTAAGGTTATATCTTGTTCATACTTCCTCATAGACTCAAAAATGACACCAGTAAATATCAAGACAACTGACAGTGTGACATATTGATCACCACTGATTTCCTTTGTCACCTCATAAAAAATTTCAAGTACTTCTGCAGCCTTCTCAACAATAACCCATTCTTCTGGAGTCAACATCTCAACGTTTGATTGAAGAACAGCCAATGTTGAGTTTATTGCGTCTTTCACTTTGACAAACCGTTGCAACATGTCATAAGTGGAGTTCCATCTTGTGGCAACGTCTTGTATGAGTTTTAGCTGTGGCATATTCATCTGATCTTGAGTGGCATGTAATTTTGCCAATGCATGATGACTGCGCTTAAAGTATTCAACTATACTCTTAACTTTCAAGGTGACCGATGAAATATCCTTAAGACCATTTTGGACAGCCAGATTCAATGTGTGAGCAAAACATGAAACCTGACGATAATTTGTCTTTTGGATAGCATTTGTGACATTGGCTGCATTGTCACTGACAATTGCTGTCACTTTATGAGTAATGTTCCAATTGCTCACAATTGTCATAAGTTTTGCTCTTATATTGTCTCCTGTATGTCGTTCACTAAATTCTGTACAGTCAAGACAGAAGGATTTCAACTCTGTATTAACATCAAAAAAATGAGCAGTTGTGGCCATAAAACTTGTGTTCTCATTTGAAGTCCAACAATCTGTTGTAAGACACACTGCTACAGTTGAGTCTATTAAACATTGTACATTGTTTTTGCAACTTTCATAAAGTCTCGGCATTATGTTGTTAGAGACCGTCTTCCTGCTTGGCAATACATATGAAGGATTCAGCATATTCAAAAATATTTTGAACTCAGGGTCTTCAACAAGAGCAAATGGATAATATCTAAAATAAAATATATTATTTATACATTTATCAAACATATCAGGTACACTAAAAGTATATATTACCTCTTCACAATCATTTTAGCAAGTTGCTCATCAAACTGTTTTTTTTTTGTAACTGATAGAGGTCGAGATTGTTGAACGAAATCAGTCAGTCGTGTTTGTTTACGTGGACGATTAAGTGGCTGTTGAAAATTATCAGATACACTAGCAATTATTGGAGTCAAAACTGAACTGGTCTGTGCTACGTTAGGTAAACTAATAGATGCAGTTGAGGTACTTGGTTGTGGATTATCAGGTTCGTTAAGTGTATCTTAAATAATAATAAATTGATTATGAAAGTGACATTTAAGTAAAAACTTGAATATTTTTAAATACAATTATTAATAATAAGAATTACGAATAAAAACAAAGAAATTTAAGTACCTCTTTGATCAGATTCATTTCTATTTATAGACACAGTTGGATGCCTTGCTGTCAAATGTCTTTTGAGATTATTTAAGCTTCCACCAGAAATACTCAATTGTACACTGCAGTAACCACATTTGGCTTTGTTACCATCTACCAGCTCAAAATGATTCCATATTTCCGATGTTCTTCCTCTGTAGTATGGCATTTCTACTTAAAATTATTAACTTTTGTGTAATAGATTATAGATTTATTTGAAACTATATAATTTGAACTTAGATTTTTTATTTTCAAACTAAATAAATGTTAATATATTTACATTTTACTCGCTAATGTAGGTTTATACGTAATATATAAGTGTACATTTTTCAGAACATTGAGCCTGTTCTGTTCTGTTTTGTTAAAAAATAAAAACAAATCAATGAATATAATGTGCATCAAAAGTGTTAAAATTTAAATACGTTTGTTTACTTGAAACAATTATGAAATAACATTTGAAAATGTATAATATTTAAGTATACATTTTTTATTATTTATAATTATAAATGTTGAAAATTAATATAATTTAAACTAGGTATCTACACAACTTTTTAAGATACCTACTATACTTAAGTAGTTTTAGTAATTATAGCCTACAAATATACAAAATTAGCATTAATAGTATCCATATGATACATACATAGGTATAATCCAAAAAATATCATAAGACCATATTATATTATTACTCTCAAAATATTTAATCTGTGTAACATAGTTCATTATAGTTTCACTTGTGAACCATACAATAATAAATAAAAGCAATACATTTTTGACTAATTAAATAATGTAATTAAAATCAATAATATAATATAAAATATGAATATTAATCTATTAAAAATTCATCAGATTTTTAATTTTTTTTGTATATCTATAGTATACACCTACATTGTAACAGTTCCACAGACTTAAATCTAAATAAGATATTTCAGTTTGAAAGGTGCCTTTAATATTAAAAAAAAGTATATTGTGGTGTTGTAAAATTAATCTTCTACTACTCTATTGATTTTTGAACCTTAATTGTAGAGCACTCTTGTAAAGTATTTGAGTAAATTTTTTTAAATAATTTTATAGTATTTAGAATACTTTCTAAATACTTTTTGAATTAAGTATTTGGAAAGTAATTTAATTAAATACTTTTATGCAAATACCTACTTTTCAAAATTAAACCAAATTATTAGTAAGTGTCACATATTTTTTTTGAAAGATTTAATATTTTACTTATAATATTTTTGTTACTCATAAATGGTTCAAAAATGTAACATTGCAATTTTAAATTAGTAAATATAAAACTAATTTTGGCCAACCGACTAGTAAAAACTAAAATTAAAAAAGTATTAAAATACATTTAAATACAAGTATTTGTATTTGTTTTTCAATACTTCTGAATGGATGTATTGGTGTCTGTTTTTAAATACAATTTAATAAGTATCTTTTACAAGACTGCTTATGAGTTTACTAGGTACCTAAAATAATATTTATCTATGTATACAGATAGGAAACAGGAAGTTCAAATGTGAAATTATGATATTTTAGAATAACAATAACTATATTGACATATTGTAGTTACTTAAAATGGAAATGCAAATTTGAATGTTACAGATCCTTTTCAGTCCTGGGTAAGAATTTAATACAATCAACACAGACAATCACTCAGACAGTAAAATAATGTTTTAAAACAAAAACGTTGGAAGACCAAAATATTAAATTCAATTGAATGTGAGCAATAGTGCAATAGAGTTGTATTAACTATTAAAACACATGCCACATGGATCTTTCTGATACTATACTGTAGGAATAGAAAATAAATAAACAAATAAACACTGATATTATGTAAAATATTCGTTTATTTTTTTGGAAAGTATTAGTTTTTTGGAATCAGTAATACTGATTGTCGATCAAGACTACTTTCTAAAAGGCTATTCAAACTGACTTTTATCATCTATCCCACAAGCGATATTGGAATAAAATAAATTGTATATTACTACTAATAAATCATAATAAATACCTAAATAATAGATACTAGGAAGATTAATGTACAAGAATTATTTTATTTTATTTTATTAATTAATTTTTATTGTTATTAAAATATTAAATATTAATATAATATTGATTATGTTTTATTATATATAGTATATAAGATAATACATATTACTGTAAATGGATTGTGATATATAGTGATGTTAAAATTTTTTTGTTTATTTTAACAATTTATAATAAGTTAATTATGAATTTATAATAAAAGGTATATAGGTTAATTGCATTTATTTCAATTAATTTAATTTGCTTCATAATTGTTATATGATTTGGTGTAACTATTTGTACTTAAAACATTCACTAAAAATAAAGCCACATTTAAAAACCTATTAAATTATTTTAATTTTCAATTTTAATCTTAAACAAATCTGCTGTCTTAAATCTCTGCTCGGGCTATACGCTGTATAAACTGTGTGTTATATAACTAACCTAACTGTGTGTTGTGTTTTGCTTTTATACTATAAAAAGTAAGAAATAATATCAAATATGTGATATATCAAAATATAAATATCTTTGGGAAAAATATTCGATATCAAATGATATTTACATTTATCGATATCATGTATCGATATTTTTCATTTTATTATCCTTACTTATTTTGTTTGCTGTGGGTTACAATCTTCTTTACTGTCTATTATGAATATATATTTGGTGAATCATGAGCGCTTTTCGAAATAAATTTAAAGCAATGGGCATACATTGTAGTTTTATTATTAAAGCTATCTTTCACAGCTTTTACCATATTATTACATGGTCTGTAACTAAACGATAGTATCCTGATATTTCCAGAAGTTCATATACTTAAACTTCTCAAGAATACAAGATGCTATGTATGATGATTTTCAATTTGCCAGCCAATGTATGGTGGTGAAATCGGGATTCATCTAAAACAAAAATATATATATAATTTATTGAATAATAAACTTTAAAATACTAAGGAAATTTCAAACTCTATAAAATGTGCAGTAATTCCTAAATACTGATGTAGTGATAATATGAATCTGTCAATGTCTGCAGTTATATTCCATTTATCTTTCTTCTGTTTTAACTATACCGACCATTGCTTCAATTATTGATTCCATCAATTGGTTCACATTTCCTTTTGGTGTGTTTGTACTAGCTTTTTTACGCTTAATAAGTTTACGTATCAGGTTTCAATGCATTCAGAGGCATGTTTATCTTTGCAATCGATGTAAGAGATAGTATCTATTACATTTGAATGTCTTATGCACTCCTTCTGAAACACAAAGTTTTAGTGTTGCATCGCCTATTTTACAATTTAAAATGCATAATCCGGCCTTCCGTTATAAGGTTCTTAACCTTTATAGGTTAATTAAATTACGCTAAATTCCTCAATATTATTTTTATACTTTGCACAATAGTAGGTTGACTAAAATATTAGTGTTCTTGTCTCTAATTGGCTGTTGTGTGTTGTTCGTGATATACTTTTACATGGAGCTTGTGGATGCTCTTGAGCCTGAATGAGTTTTACTTGGTCTTGAACTTGGCGGGATATCAGGTCATCATCACTAAATCCTCCTTAAAATATAACACCATATTTCGCCTTGTATAAACATTTTGTTATCCACTGATAATATTATCAGCTATTATCAGCCAAACGTATGCTGTCTGTTTATAAAATAAACTTGATTATTCATAAAAATGTACCCATACACTTTCGTTTGTTTCAATATTTTCGATATGTTGTATGCCACTTTTAGAACATGAACTTCATGTTGTTCGACGTGTTATCCCTTTGTATTTTCAAACATATTTTGCATCTGTTTGTGCTGGAATCATCAATTTATTAAATACTGAAGGCATATTTTGGTGCCATGACAATTTTACGTTAGGTTGGAGATCTGACACCAACCTGGCACTCTAAGGCAATGTCCGAATGATAAATGTATAACAAACTACAAAAGTAACAGCACTAACAAAATTAACTACTAAGTTTTCCTTTGTAAAATATTATCTAACATGTCTAAATAAAAGCAATAACAATCCATTGTAGAATTACAAACGACTAGCCATATCTGAAATCCCCAATCCTAGTTCTAGCACTAATAATAATATTATATAAATAATGAGTATTATTTCGGAACATAATAAATCTTGCCAAATCACATAGAAATAATATTATGATAATTTGATATCAAAATGCAAAACCTGATTAGAGCTGTATATAAAATTTTATATATCTGTTGGATTTTAAATCGCAACGAACGATAAATATATTAATATTATCGGATGATATATCGATATTATCGCCAATCGAAAATATCATATGATATCGATATATATCGTTATAAATATCGATATTTGATGTTATCGATAATTTTGACCACATCCTTACCATCATTCATTTCATACCGCATTTTGTGGTGTTGGTTTGATAATAAACTCAGTTCTTAATTCATTTCAGTAGATACCAGAAACTATATATTTAACTTCTGACCTTCAACAGTTATTACTTTGTGAAACAGAATCTACTATTGGTATAACCATCGATTATCGTGTAATCAACTTCTCTTTGGTATTAGTAAGTATTAAATTTATAATTTATAAATGTATATAATATATAACAAGAGGCGCATAGAACACAACAACACAAAAGTGCTTTTATACAGTACGGGCAATTAAGATTTGACTATTTTCAAAATATATTTTCTTCTTATAAAATCTACTCATAGAAAAATATTAAACT